CGAAATCCCCTCCCTGACTCAAACAGCAGCTTCCTCTTCTGGGATTTAAATGAAGAGCTTCCCCTCGCAGGGGGAGCGTGGGCCGCGCCTGTTGGAAAGGTTCCAGCCCTGCTTGATTTTGGGATCAGCTGCACCCAAAGGCGGCGAGCGGAGATCTAGCCCGCTTGCAGCCCTCCGGGGTTATGCCCGTTCCTTGCCTGCAGAAACCTCTTCCTCTGCAAACTCCTCGGGTATATCCAAAAAAAATAAAACACCCGATCGCCGGGAGCTTGCGCTGGTCTTAGGTTTATGGTTGGACTCGATCTTAAAGGTCTTTTCCAACCTAAATGATTCTACGGTGCTCTCCGCGCTGGCTTTGTCCGCAAACTGCCCGGGGCAGAGGCAGGCAGCGGAGGGGCCGAGGTTACTCCTCGGCCAGCCCAGGTCTCTCTCCCCAGCTCAGAGGGTCGTAGGACGCGTTTAAGGACGCATTTTCTTCTATTGACACAATTCCCTACATCGAGGCTTGCGGGAGTCTTTGGAAGAGCAAAGACCTTGCTCGGCCTGAGCGGAGATTCAGGAGACAGCTCCCAGCCCCTCCAAGACACACGCCGAGAGCTCAGAGGCTACAACTTACCTCGCTCACAGCCTTCCTCAGCGCCGTTTTTGGACAATCACTGCACTTTCGGTCAATTCAACAAATCTCCTGAACTTCCTTAATCCTTACATCTGCAAAACATCCCACCCTCTGCCAGCCACTGGCCCCAGGGACTGAAAGAGAGAAGAGTGCTTTTTTTTTTTTTAAAAAGAAAATTTTTCATTTGTTTTTATTTGAACCCAGTATTTACATCCAAGTCTAGCTCAGCCCCCAACAAGTGCTGGTTGGTTTCGGTGGAGGGAGCGCTTTTGCTCTGCTCCACCGCGCCGAGTCTGCCAAGGAAGTTTGCTCGAGAGCGGAGTGTGATGAAGAGATGGGAGAATTACTGTCGGAGCCAGCCCGGGCGCTCGCTCCAGCGTCAGGAACCGGTCACCGCTCCAGACACCGAGCCCAGGACAGCCTGGGCTTGCTTTGACGGGGCTTTATTGCTTCTGTGCGTATGCTGCCCACTTGTCCCTTACCTGGAGGGGTGGGCAGGAAAGGGGAGTTTTTGGACCATTCCTAGAGGGAGAGGGCAGGAAGTGCCTCTCCAAAAATATTTTGCGCTTCCAGAGACTGCTGGAATCTCTGTGGCTCCACCTCTACTGCAGAAGACTGGCAGGTCTTGGAAATCTTAGCCATGAAGCAATAAATACTAGAAGACACAACCTGCCATCTCCTCCAGACAGAGGGAGTCAATGCCCAAGGCAAGGAGCAGGGAAGTTGCTGCTCGGAGTCCGGGAAAACAGCAGAGCCTCCAGGAGAAGGCAGCAGCCAAGTGTCTTTGACATCCCTCCTTGGAGAGAAGAGCCCTTGGAACAGGGTCACTCCGGTAGCCCAACGCCGCCGGCATCAGCTCTCACCGCCTGCGCGGTGCACACGCTGGCCACTGGTCTCAGCCACCTTCCCTCGCTCGTGTACCGCACTTCTTCTGCGCGCCAGCTGGCCCGGTTCCTGCAGCTCCCGACAGCCCCGCAGAGAACAGGCTCGGGCTGCCTGCCCTCCCTGCCCGGGAGGCTCTGCAGGGTCTCAGCACCCATTCTCAGACACGGCTGCGCCAAGTGTTACAGGTTCATGCTGGATCGCTGCTGCGGCCATGCTGATGGCTTCCTCCAGGCTCTGCTGCTCTTCTAACTAGTGGAGGAGAGAGACAACACTGTCCTCCCAAAAGGCGGGCTCAGGAGGTGCGGGCTTGCTCAGGGCAGCCCCCAGCAGGATCGAGGTACGAGGGACTGGCAGCGGGTGACACAGGGAGAAAGCGGCAGGACAAAGCAGAGAGAGAGACGGCTACGCTGGGGAAAGGCTGTTTACAAAGGAGCATTCTGCAATCCAAGGAGCACGTCCCTGCTCTCCTCTATACACAGGGCGTCTGGGAATTAAGGAGCAAGCACCCTGGGCAAGAGGAGATGCAGCAGAGCAAGAGCGTAAGTGCTGAAGCCAGCAGGTGGATGGGGGAACGAAGGGGAGCTGTGCGGTACCTGCACTGCGATGTGGGTGCCGTTGGCGGTAGCCAGCAATGCCACCTGCTGATGACGGAGGGACGCGATGGCCGATTCTTCAGACATGACTGCCCCAGAAGTGACTATGGTAACCTAGGAAAAGTTAAGATAAAAACCAATCACGTTTTAAAAGAAAATGCAATTCCCTTCTAGCAGGCTGTTTCTCCGCAGGGGAAAGGGAAGGTCCCAGTTTTGTCTGTACCGGCTGCGTCTCGGTGCCGTCCGCGTTGGCCACAGTCACGGTGTGCGTGTCACCACCCGCCAGCTCTTCCTCAGGCACGGCGAGGGCACCGCTCTGCGTCACCATGCTGATTGCACTGCCCAGGGCCTGCAGGTCTTCCTGCGACAAACTGACCTGGGCGGGATAACAGCAGATGCTCTCAGCCAGGACGGCTCCTCAGGAAGCCTTACGCAACTCCTGAGTTTAGCAACGCAAAGGTCTCAGTAAGGATGAAATATTCTCCTCTCCTCTGCATGCAAGACCTAGGGCACAGAGAACTCCAAGGACTTTGCCCAGGGTCACGGACAGAATCGATAGAGAACTCACGGGCCTCAGGTCTCCAGCCCTCCCCTTCTACCACACCTCCCCTTCCCGTTTAGCATCTTCTCTCCAGGCTTTGAAGAGACAGCTCGTGCATCGCTGCAGCAGGGAGCAGCACAAGCGTTACTCGTGGCAGCTGTTTCCTTTGCCCCGTGCCACTAGAAGGGAGTTTTTCCCAGTCAGCACACAGGCAGCTGGTGGAGGGAAGTACAAGAAAAGCACTGCCGTACACAAACTATGAAAAAACAATCTCCAAATCCAGCCTGTGTCAGCAGAGATTGGGAGCTGCCTCTCGACAGCTGTGCGGGAGGCGAGGGCGCCCAGGCACTGCACGCAAGCCTGGGCAAACGCCTGCAAGACCCCGTCCAGCAAGAAGGCGAGTTGGGGACCAGAGGTCCATTCTTTACCCTCCACATCAAGACGGCAGCAGTGGGTTAAGGCTGTAAGGAGGGAGCCCTCATGACAGACAGAGCCCATGAAGCCCCAGGGTCTGTTTTATGCTGAAAAAAGCCTTAAAGAGAACACCAAGGCTGGGTAGAGGCAGAATCTTACTCAGTTAACTGCTGTCCCCTACATGCTGGAGGCTGTCAGTGTCCGTACCTGCTCTGTCCCATCCTGAGAGATAAGTGAGACCTGTGTAGGCATACCATCGTCGTTTTCTTCTTCCTCCTCCTCTTCCTCCACCTCTGACAGGAAAGCGATATGCTGGCTTTTCAGGGGGGAACCTCTGTCAGCAGCAGCAGCTGAGTCACGGAAGGGGAAGAGCAAAAGGGGTGAGAGAAGCACTAATCAGAGTGTGAAAGCACACGCCTGACCCCGGGACCTGCCTGTTGCCTGAAGGGCCAAGCACAGAAGAGCACAAGATCATGATGACAACAGCCCAGCACTGGCCTGGGGAGAAGGGTCTTTACCTCTCCCTGTACTACAGAACGGGCAGGAGCCCATTCCCAACCCGTGACACACAGCGAGGACCATGGGGAGCCCTTTTCTCTCGTCTGTGACACAGATCTGGGTTTGCTGGGGGATGCAGGAGGCCGCAGCACAGACCTGGGTCTGGGAGAGGGGAGCGGCCGCAGGCTCTTGCTGTCACCTCTCTCCCCATTGCCAGGCGGCCTGACCCAAGCCTGCCGCAGGTGACGGCAGAGCGGTCGCTCACCCTCTAGCTGCTGCTGTTCGTAGAGGGCCTGTTCGCTCTCCTCCGTGGCCTCCAGCTCGCCGTGGCTGCTGCGCTTGTGCATGGCCAGCGTGGAGGTCTGGCGGTAGGTCTTCCCACAGCTGTTGCAGGTGTAGGGCTTGCAGTGCGTGTGGACCACGTGGTGCTTGTAGAGGCTGGAGTACTCCGTGAAGCGCTTTCCACAGCCCGGCACAGTGCACATGTACGGCTTCTCTCCTAAGGCAGAGGCCACAGAGCAGAGCTTAACCCACTCACCCTCCTCATGCTTGGAGAAGGGATTCCCCATCAAGAGGGAATAGCTGGAGACAGACCACTGGAACAGGTGGAACAATAATCAGCCCAATAAAGCAATTCCTATTTCCTTTAACTCGCTGGCTACTCCCAGATCTACCCCCCTGCAATGCCTGGCCTGGAAATGACCATTTCGGTCCTGCAGATTTCCCTGCTGCCACAAGCTGTCAGTGCAGCCAGCTGACTGGGGCGGAGCTGTCTGCGTTTCACCCTCTCCTCCTCTTACCTGTGTGGATTCTCATGTGGTTCTTGTAATTGGTGGCACTGGTGAAGCCCCTTCCGCAGTTGGGCTCCGGACACATGTACGGCCGCTCGCCTGTGTGCGTTCGGATGTGAACCTTGCGGATGTTGGATGTGGTAAAAGAGCGGCCACAGCCCACAAAGGGGCACTTGAAGGGACGCTCACCTGCATTGAGAGAGTAACGCGGATGAGAGTCCTGCTACAATGCAGACACCTGTACCCCTTCACTCCTCCACAGTATCACACCACCGAGACCTCAGATCAGACCCAACTGCTGGCACACTTCCTCTAGCGACATTGGCGTCCCTACCCCTTTTGC